TTTTTTTTTTTTTTTTTTTTTTTTTTTGCTTGTTTGTTTGTTTATTTATTTACGTTTTCATTTTCCTATCCGGCAAATTCCGTGCACACTAACAATTATTGAATAGAAAATATAAAAGTAGGAATAACTGAGGCGGATAAAAATAACTAAAGTAGCCCATGTTGGTCTGTAAATGATGCCGCTGTGCATTATTGGAGCCAATGTTTTTAGCTAACGACAACTGCAGCAATTTCGACCAGACAAATGTCTGTCAATGCCGAACAATCAATCAAACCAAAACCATCTCCTCTCTACTATCACCTTAGCCGAAAATTTAAATCTTCTCAGAAGCTTAATGATGCTTAATGATCGACAAAGCAATAAGGAAGCATGTCTTGATATTTTTACTGATTAAAAAAATTACGAAAATTTGGCTTTATGCTACCATGTTCTATGTTAGGTAGGTCAAGACGGAAGTTGTCGTAAGACCTCGAGCAAATAAATGGAATAGGCCTCAGACACCGAATCAATCTTATTTTTACAGATTTAATGAACGCCGGTTTTAACTCTAAAAATTGGAAATTTCCGTGGAAATCCTGTTGGAAGCCCTTTTGGCTTCCAAAGGAACTCCTTACCTCTACTAATCAAATGACACTGAAATTCTTTACTTTATATTTTTTTTGATTTGTTAATGCAAAATTTTAATAGAAACAAACTCGAAAAAGACTGGATTCAACGGAGTTTGAGTTAATCCTTGTTACAAAAGCTATCCTATTGGTAGCTCAGAGAAGCTTAAAACGTAATGCTTTTCCTATCGTAGAACTTTATGCACACCTAAACTGTATTACATAGCCATATCCTTGCACGTTTTTTAACTACCAGAAGTAGCCATGAACAACGAATAAACTGGCCGAAATAGAACAACGAATAAAGTGGTAGTGCGACTGACTCGCGATTCTACTATAAGTAAACTGATTCACAGGCGATAATAAATAGCCAGTGGTGGATAAGCAGATAAAAGTGATTGCAATGGCATAATTGGTAATACAAGCCGGGAAAAAGTGACTCATACGATACACAAAGAGCACACAACAAATATTCCTGTGCTAGATAATTTGTATCGCGACTTTTGTGGAATGATTCATTTGCAGTTTATGGAACATTGGAATGAGTTTTCCATGGAACCTGAATTTTCTTTTGATGAGTTGTCCTCTGTTTTTTCTAGTGGAACTGTTAAGCTATTTTCATATTTGCCTCCTGTTCCAACGGCGGTCAAAGAAGCCAATGGAAGACTGCGAATGGTGGACCCCGTATTAGTGCGAGCGCCCCTGCGAAAGCAGGTCCGAATAGCCAGCTTGAAATCTGGTTTTAGAAAAGCGTACATAAGTGGATTCACCAATGAACTGGTCGCTATGGTGAAGAAGGAAACGATTAACAGAGCATGAGGAATTTCGTCATACTTATTTATAATATCTGCAGTTGTTATGCAGATGATTGGCAGCCAGCAGAGTAGGAAAGCTGAAGCAACTATGGAGAAAACTTTGGCCACTTTGGCGTCCGAGGATATTCGTCTTCGCTCACTCTTGTGCACTCTCAGAGATTCCATGTTCTTTTTCATTGTAAAACTTCGTTGAACTTGCTTGAATATTCGCATGTAGGCAAAAGTAATGAAGATGTAAGGTACAACGACGCCAAAAAATTCCAAGCACACCATGTAAGCTTTATGAATTTTGAGATCTGCATTCGTGTCCCAGAACAAGGGAAGCAAAGCGTAAATGATTGGAAGCAGCCACGAAAGTATGAGAGCTCTTTTGAGAATCTTTGGTGCTCGATAAGGGTATTCCAGCGGCTTAAGTATAGCAATATATCGATCGCAAGTTACAGCGCATAGGTTGGCGACACCCCAGAGCAATATGAGGCACACTAAATAATTTGTGACAACCGTAGTAACGGTGAGGTACACGGGCAATAAAACTCCTCCTGTTAATATGTCCGACACAGCAAGAGATACCATCAACCAATTCGTGTTCGTTCGTAAGGCTTTCTTTAAGTACACCAAGAGACAAACACAGAGGTTTGATAGAACGATAAAAACTGAAAGGATGCTGAGAGAAACAACCACATAGATGTCCACAGAGACATTCTCTTCCGTCCCGGCCATGTTCTAGTCGGCCGCTTTTGATGCGACGCTGTCTTCAATAATTGCTTTTCCCTTGTGTTGAGTTGTTAAATATATCAGCTCTGTGCGCAGCTTTGCGTAAAGAGCTGATTTGCTTCAGAGTTTGTACGCCATTAAACCATTGCTGGACCCTCAGGCACTCGTATTATCCAGGCTGTTCTTCGTTCTGTCGTATTAATCGAATCTTCAGTGTTGTTGGCCTTAAATCTTTGTTAGTTTACTATTCTCTCGCAGAGTGCAAAGCAAAATTAATTTCAATGCAGTTACTTTATCTTCCTTTATGAATATTTTTGTTGCGTCCCAGGAGAGCTCATTAAAAAGCAATAAAAAGACAGCTTCTAAAGTGCACCAAGGATCCACTGAAATATATTTCTGTTTATAGTTCTCGGTTTTTTTTCCACCTCGAGACTCATTCAAATATTGAAATACTCTCACCGATATTTGGTTCTGTACTTGATACTTCGCATCACTTTCCGTGCAGCTTCTCGATCCTGAAAACCAATTATTGAGCAATCTACAATAAACATTGAGATAGGAAATGAATCTTAATTGCACTTTGGAAAAGAAAACCAACCAACCGCTTGTTGGCGCTAGGCAGTCAGATAAACATGGGATAATATTTGCTTTCTTGTCCATTGCTTTGAAATATACTAAAGAGCAATTAAGATTGATTAAAGATATACAAAGCCTTGTCCAGTTTGAATGAACCGGTTGTACAGTAAGTAGATCGAATTCATTAACCAGAGGAAGAGGCTTGTTTTGCATAAGTCGTGAAATAATTGACTCGAAACCAGCGGGGGAATAAAGTTCAGTTATATTTTTTTTCCGGTTTTAAAAGGCACTGTAATCATTTCCAAGCAACGCACGAACCCAGAGTGACTCGTCATGTATCCGTACCGATATTTTCTGTTCCCCTCTTGAAAAACATGCTCCGAAGTGATTGGTCAACTCGATAACAAAAGTACACTTTACAGCAGCTGAATCGCTTGCTCTTTAATTTGTAATTAGAGATAGTGCGTTGAAGACAAAAAATAAATGCCGCCAAAGAAAGAGGATCATCTTGAAGATTTCAAGGATATGTGGCAAAATCCTTTCTTGAAATCTATTGGGTACTCGGATTAGTACAAACAAGGGGTATTTGTAAGCGATTAGCAATTTTAACAGCCGTTTGTTACTGTGTTCATCACGTGTTTCGCAAATTGTAGTTTCTCTCTCACGCGGTCAAATAGACGGATTTAGTGGTCAGGATCATAGAACCAGGGGGATGGAAAAAGCAAAAGTAGCTTACTCACGAGAATTTAAGGTTATTCCTTACTGTTTTTCTTGTCTCGCAGTGCTCTTCGCACTTCCAAAGAAAAGAAGAATCATTTTGTGAAATAAATGTTTTACATCGAAGCCGGCAATACCCTGAAGGGAAAGAAGATTCCGACCCTCCTCGCATGGTAGGCCGGCAAGTGAACAGCACCTCCTTGAAAGAGCAAAAACTGTGCCATGGATTAAATCCAAAATCTTTGCTTCAATAATCAATAGAATATTTTGATACAAAAGCGTCGGTTCCTTTTTGAATTCTTAATATATTTCATTCTTTGTAGAGTAATTAGTCGAAAACCGAAATGTCGCTTTCATTATTGATGCAATAATTTTGTGATTGTTGCTCGGACATAGTAATTTCCTGTCGTGGTTATTGCGTTTGAAAAGTAAATATGATTATTCTGGGAAACCTAAGCTGCTTATAACGCTGAAGAAAAGCGAAGCAAATATTATGGCTGCATTTTTGCACGTAGACTTGGTTGCTGCCTCGCTCATTTCACTATGACCGGAAATAAATTACTCAAATGTCATCGTCAGTTTTTTTTTGTTTTTTTTTTTCGTTTGAAATTGTTTGCTTTGCCTTGAAATTATACACTTGGGCTTATATTACCTGAGAGGTATTCTGGTATTTCTTTTTTCAACTTATTTATAATGTTATCTGTCAGTTAAAACATGCGAAAATACATAGAGGCATATCAACATGATGTATGGCGCAGAACTGTCTTGTTCCAAGCAATCGGTTTTGTCATTTGTCAATGAATCAATCAATCCGTCCGTTACGTTTTTGACGACGTTTTCATACGATTAAGTTGCTGAACTGTACAGATGACTACTGTCGTTGATTGACTTCAAATCTACACAAGTATGCTGTTTCGTAAATGAACGTATTTTACGTAGACCAATAAGAACAATAACCGTAACAACAAAATAACATAACATTCCCATCAGTTAACAATCCGGGCCACAGCAAAGAACTGATCTTGGCCTAGCGTGGGTTGCAGCTAGAACGGAAGATGTCGATTTGCTAGATGAAGTGTTGTAGCGTCAAGTCAATCTTAAACCTACTCTAGGGAAAATCTGGTGATCCACTGCGCTCGAAAGAGAATTCTCAGTTATACTTTAAAAACCTTCGAGGCAAAGGTTTGTTACTAATCACTCTACCCTTACAAGAGCCTCCTTGTTGATGTATGAAAGGGTACGTGGGATTTGGATTCGTGACCCATCTCATGCGCGTCCCCCAACCTTGGCTTTGCTTAAAATTCTTATGAAAAATGCCGAGATACTAATGGCATTCCTGTTCAGACGACATAATCGGATAAGCCTTATCACTTGCTCGAAACTCCAGACAAACATATTGCCGAATTATAAGCACAGACCAAAACTGGTGGACATTCCTACCCAGCAGTCATGCCCTTCACTAGGGAATGCACTTATCGTGCTATTTATAAGTGTCCCTCCCTTTACCACCCACATACGATTGGGCCAATGGAAATCTTTTAAGATTTTCAAGATCAAACTGCCTACTGCAGCTGTTTTCCAAGATAAGACAATGAGTTCGATGAACCGAGATTTGCGTATAGCATCTACACTGGGAAAACGTTCCAAACGATTTATGAAAACCTTTGCCATGATTAAACTTAAAGCACTATTTGCTTACAAATATGCTATATGAAACGGAAGTTTCTATGTTTTTGAAAAGATAAGTTTTATCGGCCCCCTTTCCTTAAGGGCCTCTAGTGAGTATCTCTTTTAAATGTAGACATCTCTAAAAACGGAGCGTTCCTATTGCAATAACCCCCCACTAATTTCAATTAGCACTCCTTAATTAAAAATCTTAAAGTAGGGAATCTTCGGTAGAGACACGATGGCATCTCGATCTTAATTTTAGGGCATTCTAGCTTCGTAGCGTTCAGTTGTTCTTGATAGCCTTTCGGAAATCTGCGAACGAGCACGTCGTTCCTTGTAAGCGTTATCCCACCATCAAAAGCTCTATCTCGATCTTTCACAGTAAAATTGCACCGCCTGCCCTAACCGAATCATTCAGTGTAATACTAATTTGTTTAATGCACGTTTTTAAGGGTAATGAATTGACCTGTTGAATGATTAGACTAGCGTTTCCGTATCGCTATTCATCATACGGTCAACAAGTTGAAGTAATCACTTCAGCGGATTCCACTCCAAGTGTTGTTTGTTTACTTTATTGATTGATCGTTTTTTGTGTTTCCTTTATCGACAAAGCTTCTTGTAAAACTCTATGCTAAAAAAGCATCCGTTTGTTTTCGCAGCATATAAAAGGACTGTTACTGTGCGCTCACGCTACGAAACACGGTGTCGGTTCCACCAATAACATTCTCAGGGATATTGATGCTACATAATTGCGAGAAAAACAACGCCTAACTGCAGAAAATGTCAAGGATTCCTCGTCAAAACAAGCTATTTTGGCAACTAATACCAATCTACAAATAGAGAAAGGGATGTATGTCCACTTTAAGTTTGCTCCTTTAGCAAGCACAGCAGTTTGTCGGGCTCTGTCGCGAATCCGCTGGCAATGCAAATATAGAACTGACTGGAAGAGATTAGTGTAAAGTGAAACCAGCGAGTAATAAATACTTTTATGCCGACATTTTGAAGTAATCTCAGAAAATTTCAAACCGATGTATTCAGAACGCAATGTCAACAGTATTCACAGATCGGTCTCCTTGCCTTCTTTTCCACTTTCTAGTCTTTTCAGAATTAAAGGAACGTCGATAACACAGTTTTCACTGTGTTTCAGAGACGACCACTGAGGTCGCTTTCCCAGCATTCGCTTGATGATGCGTCGGAAGTCAGGCTTGAAAAATGAGTAAACCACAGGATTGACCATAGACCCTAAGGCAACGGTAAAGAGCGAGAAATCCAGCAGCCAGGCTGGGGATAGTTTGTCCACTAATTCACGTTTATCGACTGCAGATATAACACTAGTCAGATATAGGACTGGCAACCAACTTAAGATGAAGGAAATGGCAATCAAGGCAAACATTTTGGCAACTTTTGCCTCGGAAGCCATGGTATTTGAGTTTTTTCTTCCCTTGTTTTTGTCTTCATGATTGCGCCAGCTAAGGCTGCTTTCTCTTCGCAATCTCCTGACGATGTGCCTCGCTTCATGAAAGATCAGGTAATATGCTGTGCAGACAAAAATGTATGGCACAACAACACCAAGTCCTTGGATTAAAAACAGGTAGATTGTATGCGCTAATCCAGCATCTGAGCTCCAAATAAGGGGAATAATCGAGATAACCATTGGAAGAACCCACGAGCCTACTATGAACTTGACGAAGTGTCTCGTCATAACAGCATAGTAAATAAATGGTTTCGCTATAGCCAGATATCTGTCAAGAGTCACTGCACACACATTGGCAACTCCAGTTAATAAAATTGCCGACACAATATAACCCGTCCCATTAAATTCTGGTACGCTGATGTACAAAGGCAAGAGGAGCGCACCTGTGAGAATGTCCGACACTGCGAGGGACACAACAAATCCATTTGTGTAACTCCGTAGTTTGGCGTGCAAGTACACTAGCAGACACACACAACTATTGGTGACCACGATAAGAAGAGATAGGCAGCCCAAAGGGATCGCGACAACTGCTTCTGTTGGCATAATTAAGTGTTTGAAATTGTCTCCCTATTGCGAAGTTAAACTCGGTTTTATGGTTTCAGATGCTGTCTCTTCTTGATTGTTGGCTGAATGATGCGTAGTAAATTGATCCGATATTCATTCATCACAGACGCCCTGAGGTACCGAGCAAAGCGGCCGAGCTCAAACCCTCTGTAAATTGACGTTGAACCGACTAGCGAAGTTGTATTTATAGTCGGTTGAGGAAATCATTCTAAGCATTCTTCAGCTGGTCAGCTCGCGTGATACACAGGCCTCAAAGCTGATAAGCCAATACCAAATAAAATGCATTGTGACCGACTAACCAAGTGTTGAGTGAGCCGGAAAGATTTTTATTCCTGCAAGTGCTTTCCGTCACATCTCTATAAATCTATCGGGTTTTATTTCACAGAATCCAATCTCAGTCTTACATGTACCGTTCGTTCCCGCATCTTTAAAATTCATAAGAGAAGTTTCGTTGTCTGCGTTTTTGGACGTTAAGACACTTTGTCTCTTTATTATCAAACCTAACATCCGATTCTCATTTCCCGAAGAAAGGTCAAATGTTTTCGTGTAAATAGAAACGTTCCTCGACTATAGTATTCTTACCGATAATGTCAAAGGTAATGGCGAATGGCATATCGTCAAAGACTACGTAATGTTATATATTGAAGCAATTTAGCAATTGGTTATGACCACGCCTTATATTAACGATAACAATGATTTTCCGTAGTCCATAGGAAGCTGGAACTAGCCTTTCAAGAAACACCAAAAACAACTGACCTCTCATGAGCTTAAATCGGCGAAAGTAAACATGGATTACCGTTTTTAAAATAGAAAATACGTTTTGTGTTTATTATAAACACAGTCCTTAATTGGTCCAGATGCGGTTTCCCATTAGTGGATGTCATAAGTTGTGATTACTGCAAAGATAATTCCGCATATTTCAATTTGTTATACTTCTTAATTGAGAAACCGCTGCTGTAACTCTCTCCAACAAAACGATAATCAGTATTAGCTATTTGTAAATGTGGATAACTTCAAAGTACCGATAAAATCTTTATATACTTCCCTTTAATGATTAATTTATGTGTTGGATGACATTGTAGCGTAGCCTTAGGGCATATAAACCAATACTGTGGCTGAGTGAAAAAATTTTAAAATCCGTCAGATAAGTCATGCAAGATAAGATCGGAAAGTAAATAGCGAACATAATCTTCTCACAAGTCAGCGATCGTTGATACAGCTAGGAGACCTGGAGGCAAAAAGATAATCAGCTTTGCTGACTTACGGATCGGAGTATCCAATTAGCATTCAATTTCTGTTACACGCAGAAACAAATAGACCAATTTCGATATATTAAAATTCAGCCTAAGACAATAGACCTCAGCACGAGGCTCTGGGGAATAAACCCCACAAACTTTGTATTTATTCCCCAGAGCCTCGTACTGAGGTCTATTGTTTTAGGCTGAATTTTAATATATCGAAATTGGTCTATTGGTGTCCGAGAATGGGACAAAAGATAAAAGTATCGCTGTATTGATTTACGCAAAAAATCATTGTCCGGGAGACTGATGAGAGTCTGCGTTGAATTACAACAAAAGAGAAATTGAATCGTTAAATTCATAAAACAGCTTGACGCGCGGCTTAATTCTAACTTAGACAAATCAAATATTTCTTTGAATCCCATGAGACGATCAGATCGGTATTAAACTTACCACAGAGACTGATTGAAATTAAAGTCAAATAGACTATGAAAAGGAGGAAACTTAATAACCCTATTTGCCTAGATGCTTTCCAGGTAAAGATAAAAACCTTCTCTGTGATCGGTAAAGAGTTACAAAGTGGGCTGAGAGTCAAGAGGACGGGAAATGCTTTGGAATCCCTGCCAGCGGCCGAAGCGAATACCTTAAGGCTGCCTCGAACTGTCCAAACACATGCGATTATCTCTATTCCTCAATTTAAAACACATAATAAATTGATCAACTCTTTCAGATAATAACGCATAAAAACCTCTCCGTTGTACTTTAGAAATAGAAAATTTTTTTGAGCTTACTTGTGTTTTTCTGAGCTTAGTTGTGTAACGAATATTGGAGGCGAAGATAGGTAATATATCATCCTCGGCCTTGAAAGATAAGCTAAGAGATTATCACACTAGGATTAGGCAGCTTATGGCAGCACCGAAGGGTCGTGTTATAATGACATTAAATTTCCCAACTGAGATGCTTCCAGCCAACGATGCTACCAACCAACCGCACGTAGTCATCTGTCTGCTTTCCGTGGATAAACCGCGTAAACGAGCCCATGAAGTATTGTATGAAAGGCAAGCAATCAGTTAGAGAAATGATTTGAGAGTACATATAGGATATAGAATGTCACATCAAATGATTCCGTGTTTTCGTGCATGAAGGATCTTTGATACGTGTTAGCGGGTAACACCGCATAGATATCACTAAGAGCGTTAGAGACATCTTGGCTGCGCCTTTCTGAGTTCGCGTTCACTATTTTGACATTCTTCTTTCAAACAATTTGTTAATGCACTCAAATTTAAGGCAAAAAGAAAGAATGTTTCCCACTTCTCAAATAATACTCCTCAGTTTTTGACTTGAAAAACTCTCATGCAGAAAACGAAATAACTGAGGGCAAAACCCGATCAGGTATAATTGTAATTTAAGTTCCTTCTTTCCCCTACTATATATTCTCATGCATAAAATACGTGCTTCCAGTTTAAGTTAATTTTATAGCAAACCACTTGAAAAACTCCGAAACGAGATAACGTAGTGAATATTATGATAAAGGTTTGTTAAGTACTTCAAGTGGCCTGCGTTTTTCATTACTTCTTTGGGGGATTACCGATAGAATTAAAAGAGTACACTCAGTTCAGTCACCAAAAATATAATGTTCCGCCAAATCAAACATTTTCGTAGTGTGGAATCACTGTCAGGACTTACAACAGAATGCTTATAATAACAAGGAATTCATTCCTGTGGTTCACGATCGCTGATTCCTCTAGCTACGGCCAAAATGTATCGAATACGGACGTTTTTGTTGAGGTTGAACATATCAGTTGATATTTTTGGCTAATCCTAACCCATGACCTGCGTGATGCCGTACGGTCTACTACTTCAGAAACTGCGAACCGGTCAGCTTCAATGACATTCTTTATGTTTAATTCAAAGCGCGACGTCGTTATGTCTTCACTTCCTGTATACCAGCATCTCGTTAGTAATCACCCGATACAGCCCAATGAAAAGTCAGGAAAAGCCTATTTATCATGAGAATACATTTTAAACGCTGCATAATTATGGGCAAGGCCTCTAAATTTCAAAACAAACCGCAAGCTCTTACTTATCCTCGTGTTTCTGTTTTTTCCTTGTTTTGTTTAAACTATTCAGGAAAGATGCCAAAAAAAGATATCATATTACAAATTAGGTTTCTACAACGAAAGGTATATAGTAAAATAGATAAAGATATTGTTCTGTTCCAATACATACAACATTACTCTGGAAGGATTCTGGGTAAGAAAAGTGCTCACGAAAACTGTTTTCACGCGTGATTTCAACTTCGATCCCAGGCTCTCCTGGCCTCCGGTAAAGGCGAGGGAGCCTGGGATTGAGGTTGGAGTGATTTTATTTTGTCTACCCGATCTGCATCGGTGCCTTGATCTTGAAATTCTCTTTTTCTTCTGGTATTACCTGAACGAAGATATTAACGTGAACTGATTAATATGACGAGAAACAAGATTTTGTAGCGGCTTCCTCACTGTACGAGAGAATTGATGTTTGAACGCTGGTTAATTCTTTCAAAGATTTATCTCAAGGTAGCAAACAATTTGTTTTAGTGTTGTCGTGGCTCATTTTTGATTGAATAAACTGATTAAACAAAGCAGCAAAGTGACGACTATTAATAATGGCATCAGGGGCGCGTAACCCGTTTTAATCACGGTTTTGAGCGGATGTTTTCGTTCCTGCCAGCATTTCTCCTTGAAAATAACATTCATTTTACATTCAATTTTAATTTACTCTCAAGCTAATAGATGACAGATTTTACGTCCATTCCATTTTACTACAAAAGGTTTGGCCAAATTAAATATTATGATTTCTAAGTAGTCGATTCAAATTCTTTTAATGTTCAAATCCTGTTCAAATATAATATTTCCCGAAGAAATGTAAAGGGTATCTTGTTACGGGAGGTTATTTGTAATGAAGGTAAAACTAAGCCGCTTCAATTTTTAATAATCCTTTTTGATCATTTAAACTAAAATTTGTTTGTTAAATATTAACCGGGTAGCATTTCCTCATGAAACCCGGTCACATATCCTTTCGCCTTAAATTTTGAATTCCATTGTCTTTTGATAAGAAAGTTGTTATAGAAACTTCTTTTGCCTCATGCTACTTCCAAGAGTCCGCAGAAATCTTTCAGGAATTTTGACAAAGCTAGCTGCATTAAATCTTGTAATTAGTAGAACGTGACTAACAGGATTTGATGAGACGGCAATAAATCAAAGAATGAAATTGCACATGTTAATTTTCCATAGATTTATAATTTACTAAGAAATGAAAGTGACATAATTCAAGCAGTCGTTGATATAATGTCAGACAGTCGTCCTCCTAGTTTTAATAATTTTTTAAACTGAGATTTCTAAGAGCACTTTAGGTGACGTTAGTGCTTTTTGTTAAAACTTTTTTTACGCTGAATTTTACACCAAACAGAAATTTACTCGACTACCATGGGCTTTTTGAAAAACTGAAATATGGTCATATTAGCCAGAATAAATCTCGCGATTAAGAAAGTGGCAAAAAAACATGAATATATTATTGAGCGGCAAATTGAGCAATCAAAGTTCAGTTGTGTTTATTTTTTTCAGGTTAATATAATTCGTCTGTAAACAAAGAAGATATTAATACGGAGATATAAAAAAGGACATTTTTCATTCTGTTGGCAATTTTTACAACCCAGAAGGTAAATCACTTCGCGTTAAAACCTTGGGAAAATTTTGCCACCCTTGCTGCATATTTTCCAAAGTAGGTACCTTTATAAACCATCACTACTGTCTTACGGTATATCCACAAAGAAGCAACTTTCTTAATGATTTTTCTTGGCTTGTAGGGTTGGCAGTGTATATGTTATACGGAGGGATTTTAAATCGAGTATACCGTAGAGTATTATGACGCCAAAATTGGGCCTTTCATAGGTATAAAGTGTACCTTGTTTTTCCAAATTTTGGTATTTCGCATGAGTTTGAGGGGAAATATTTGGGTATAACGGGTTTTCCTTTTCTTTTTCTTGGTATACCACTAACCCCCATGGCCGACCCTGATATATAACAGAGAATCCTGTTTCTAGAGTTTGCAGTAGTGTTCTTCCTTTTAGAGAATCGAACGCGGATATTGGTACGTAATGCAGGGCAACGAATGCGAGTGTCGCTCAGCGTACCTGTGTCGGGATTGCCCAACGGGGCCGTTAATAGATGAGAGAGTCCCTCAGTGTTGTCTTTTTTAAAGATCACCCAGAGGGGAGAGAGAAACAGAGGTTATGTAAGTGGATGGTATGATAATAAGTTTCTCTGAATGTCAGATACCACGTCGTTTGTAAGACGGGTCGACAGAAGAGACGATTTCAGATATTTCTGGCTGTAGTTCGCCTTTGAAGAAGTCTTACTTCTCTTGGGACTTACATCTAAAGGTATTTGGCATTTCATTTCAATAAGTTGCAAGATTTTAATTATTTACCTAATTGAATTCTTGTTGCAGATTTGTACCAAAATGAAGTGGTTTTCTTGCCTGGCTATCTTGTTTTGGTTCATTGTATCATCTGATGCCAACTGTGAACGAGCCCAAGTGAAAGACTGCATAGAAAAATACGTGAAAGAGTTGAATGAAAAGCCAGATATCAGCTCCCATTGTGACCGCTTGCGGGTAATTCTTGAGACTTCTATTTACATAAATTGGTCCTTTCACGTCAGTTGAATAAACTGAACACTGGTCCGACGGAGAAGTGTCGATTGAAAATGCCTCACCAAAGCTAAGGGTCAGCTTAGCTGTTCAAAGTCCAAAAATATCCAAACCAGGTTTTTATTGCAATTTAGACAATGTAACTGTCACAGCAAATTACAAATGTCTACATTATTTAAGGTTTGCAGCCCCACATTTTATTGCGATTCATGGAAGAGGAAATAACGAATTATTGAATTGTCGGGCGTTGGGTTATCTGGTTTCAGGAGGTTTTGTTGTCGAGCTGTTTTTTGTTGTTGTTGTAGCTTTTTGTGTTGTTGTTGTTGTTGTTGTTTTGTTGTTTTGTTGTTGTAGAGGAATAAGTACATCTATTGTAGGCCCGTAAGCCTCATACATGTACAATATTCTACTCTATAACTGAAGCTATACTAAACTAAATGCAATAGCTAACGTCAGCTTTTTTATTTCGTTATCACTTTGAAAAGGAGCAAATAACTCATCCCACGTTGAACTCTGCGGCATGTTCGTAGCTGCTAATCAACTTGAGGTTGATAAAGGTGGATAAACTGCCGCAGCGAGTCTGTGACGGTGATTTTTCGAGCGTTGGCCATAATTCCATTGCTCGAAACGTTTGCTTCGCGATTTTCTTACCTTTTTGAACTTGAAGCTGATAACCAGCTAAGTGTTTCACTTGCCCGTCGATGCAGCCCAAAAGTTTCTTTAAAAACTGATAGCTTCTCTTATTGCAGGATGTATTTGGCTGTTTTTGGTCAGAAAACCCTGAATGCACCCGGGGTAGAATGATTAAACGCTGGAGAGGATGGGTGTTAATGGTTCGCACGTTGGAGAAGTATCTTGACTTGTGTGAAATTGATGACCAAAGACTGCAAAACTTCTACAGAAAATTGCCTGATGATTGTAAGTCCAAGCTCTATATAGAATTTTCCTTTTAATGTTGACTACCCCTTCATATATATATGAACGAACGCTATCAATTTGACCGAACAGTGACGACTTCAGATATGAGCGGGTTAATCAATAGCCAAACGAGGTGTTCATATTATGCAGGTCGTGGTTAGATGTTATAACAAAAGTTAATTTCCATTTTATTTCCATTCTGTAGTTGGAGTAAAGTTGTTGCTCTATCGCATCGGTAATCCCGAATTTTCCCGCAACTTTTCGGTATAATAATTCCTTACTACTTAATATGGAGATCCGAGTGTTGCAGGCCAATAAAACTTGTTGCTTTGAAATGCCGAAAACAGGCCTCTTTTAAATTAAAGCGGCAAGGAAGAATATGTAACAAAGCAAATCAAATTCAACTGCGGACTCCAGTTATGGTAAGGCCATTAACAGAATTGAAGTTAAAATAAAAAGCCAAGATCTCCCCTAGGACTGCTGCGTTTGTCTACTTTTAAACTCACCCTAAAGGGCCTAGGTTATCCCATTCTGTCGACAACAAAAGACTCAGGCAAGACTAAAGAGAGCTGATTGCCAAGAACATGACCTTATTTCTGTTCGTTAGAAATGTTGCTGAGGTGCAATTGGAATTAAACAGCCGCCCATGAACCTCAGAAATATATTTTCATCGTTAAGCAGCTAGTGTATAGCACTGACTAAATACTTAGCGTCTTATTAAAATTGAACGATGGCATAGACGTGGGTCCCCAAAACTAGCGTGACCGTTCCTGCATGACCCTGTACAATCCGGCTCCAGGAAAATTACTCTCAATTCCTACAACCTCCTTCACTCACTCCTAAACTATACCAGGGTGTGGGACAGTGTTCGTTAGATGACGAATGATGCTTTTAATTAATTAATGTTTTTTTTTTTTTGTTATTGTCGTCGATTATAGCAATACCAAAACGTTTCTATAACTTCTTGCGGACTTCCAGTAAGTGATTTATTTCATTTATTTTTTCATTGATTTGTTTTCATATATTATATTCCTGTAGTGTAAAAAAAGAAATTAGTGCATCTTCATCATAGAAAACCCAGAGTGTTTATTTGTCACGTTTAGAGTAATTGTAGTGGGCATAATTCGTAAACGTTTTAACACCTATCTCAAGGTGTGTGAAAGAGTGATTCCTTACTATTTCTTTTATCAGTTATTTCTGATGTCGACAAGAACTGTGCAAGGCGTGTCCACCTTGGGTGCAACAAAATGTTTGTTGATGAAGTAAAAAATAACCATCGCATTTGCGATGATGGCAGAGATTGGCTGCAATGCTACAACAACAGCAACTGTAACCAAGAATCTGCCATAGTCCGTTATGCCAAGTACGTTGGAGAATTGGTGACTGAGCTTGTAACTGACTGCAATTCCTAGTCGTGCTTTTCGTTAAGTTCGTTGGTTGTGACACGCATCCAACCAATCATACTTGTTAACGTTATCATGATGCAAAATAAATCTTAAAACTACAGCGTACATAATTTGCGTTGTTGTCCTTTTTGTCAAGGTTCCTTCGATGAAGGGCTACCTCTCGAAGCGATACCTGCTAGACGTGATTTTTGCTACTGCGGTTGATTGAACAACTTTTAAGTTGTTATCATTTAAAAATTATAATCAACCAAGTGTATCACATGCCCGCTAACACAGCACAATGGTTTTCGTAGAAACCTATTACGTGACCATTTCCATTACAGCAGAGACCCATAAGTGGCTGACAAGTGCAGCGTGCGTTCACAGATTCTATAGGCAAGTGACCTTATTTGGAAACCCCTTGCTCTTACCCATGCAGTAAACTAAACGTCAAAGCAAACACAGTATTATCTTCGACAGTCAATGATCATGTGACGTTTTTGAAGAGATTTGGAGTATTTATAATTTTTGTTAAAAATAGAATAAAGCATCCGTTTGAATTTCCAAAAAATGCGCATTAAAGAAGGGTTAAATACATGCAATGCGATAAAACCTAAGTAGGAACAAAGCAATGGCTTAAAATTATGAGGATTATGAACTAAACTCTATTACTAGTATAGGTACCTTCCCCTTAATTGGGCTCTAGTCAATAGCAGTTTTACCCCCAGCATTTAATGATGTTTTACAAACAGTCTGCCAATACCCATTTTTACTGCTAGGTCAGTTGAGAGTCAAGTGCATTGCCAGTAAAGAACACAACACAGTGACCTTGACAGTGCTTGAAACAAGGCTGTTTGATCTACAGTCCAAACACCTCAAACATTAGGCCAACCGAGTCTCCCATATGTTCATATAAGGCGTTAGTGAAATTACTATTCAGTGCTGACAATACTGTAACGTGTGTTAACTATTTCGTTTTGCTTTTTTTTTTTTTCTTACATAAAAGAAGCGTTTCCTCTTAGATAGAAGATTCACTTATTTTCCTTATTGACTAGGTGATATAAGTAAATATTTGCATCATTCTTCTTTGATAACAATGACGACATTTTCTGGGAATGTTTTTTCATCTGGTCTATCTTGGACAGATTGGTAAGTGCCACTGTTGCAGCCATAGTAACTTAGTAATGATGGACTTCTTTATGAAGACAGTTATAAAGTCTCACAATTCATTAGTTTTTCAGCTTTGTAAATTAATCAACACAATCCAATATTTTTTGCACTGTTTGATTTTAGTGATTTGTCCTCTCCCCTTATTTTTGTTAAAAAGATCTTCTTGCTTTGATGTGCCTGGAGCGTATAACCTAAATTTATAAATTCATGATCAAGTTTATTAACTGCTAATTTCAAACTTAGAAATCAGGACAAATAACTATTTATAGATACTTATTAGTATTTCATGTTATCTTATCGTGTTTTCATAAAAGGATTGTAAATAAACACTGGAAAAATGGAGTTCTACCCTTCTAGGCGAATTTTGCAGCGCTGAACACAGTGACAACTCTCTTTTGTTACTCTGTTGAAGAAATGTGTTAATTAACCTTTTTTCTTGAAATTGAGAATTTCAACACCTATGACCAAGTAAATGAATAATTTATAAAACAGAAACTTACAAGAGAGTGATCTCGTGCTTCATGTAGACATTCGATGATTGTCTTACTCCTCAAGAGCTCAGTCTTTTTTGATGCTACAAACTTGCTGAAGTATTTAGAATTACTTCACGGCAGTAACTGCCTCAAAAGAAATAATTTAAAGACCACAGTTTGTCTCGTTTATTTACTAAAACAGAAGCTCAAAAGATTGAATAATAATGTTTATTTACGGCAGCTGCTTTCTTTCACATCATTACGTGCACAAATGTGTATACAAAAGATTTTCTAAACTAATTGCCCCACTTTGTGATCTCAATTTTCTGCAGAAGACCTTCAACTGGGACATTCCATTTCTAACGCAAGGTACAGTTCAATATATGCTTCTCTTTAATCTAGCGTAACACTTGGGTACATTTGTTACTCCATTGGCTTGTTACCCAGGAAAGTCTCAAAATTGCATAAGTACCAAGGTCTTTATGGGTCGATAGGCGGACCGCAGCTATTGAAATGGTTTCAACTCAGTTCTTGAAAAGACCTTCATTCACGAAGCTAGGGAGGAAATCAGCGAAACGTTTCAAGAGAATTGAGGGACAGGTAACGAAATTTCCGGCGATTCTTGATTTGGTTTGCTCCATACTAAAAAATTGAAAATTAAATATCTCGGTGTTTTACTTAATTTTCATGATCATAAAGTCAGGTTCTTGGTCTAACTTTTTGCTCAAGATGTCCTCTAGACAGTCGCTCGCGTCCCTGAGATATATCTGCATGCTAGGTAGCTTAAGCAGTGACGACGACGACGATCCAAGGACGACGGAAATTAGGGGCCAAGGCTCGCGTTGTCCAAACCCCTCAGAAATTGGTCATTTCACGTTGTTGTTTTGCAGAGGTAGGTTGCAAATTGTGCAAAGATTTATAACGCACGTGCATAACCATTGTTCTGCTTGTTTCACGACGGTTTTGTTGGCCTCGTCATGGCGGTTTGCTAAAGCTCCCAACGGATACAAGGGCAGCAAAAAAACATTCTTTATACTGACCAATCTGGAAAATCTCAATCTTGGGCAACTATCAACTGAAAAGGACCACGATTTTGTCTTTTCCATTATACATTGTGGTTAACCACTTCTACAACAGCTGCAAGAGGCGTGTATATAAGAAAACTGCATGTTAGTACTGCGTTTAACTTTAAGCTCGTTAGTAAACATAATGAAAGCTAACAACCCTTTGTAAAACCACCGCCGAAAATAACGATTGGTCACAATGAACGATTTTCTTCTCCGAAGTTTCTTCGCCCAACTAAGAGAAACAAAGTTGCATCTGTTGGGTCTTTCTGGTATCAATGCTAGTTTTCTTAAGCGTTTCTACACTGAACAAAACTTTCTAGACGGCGTTCCATTAACCCTGGAATTCTCTCAAAAGACTGTGTGGGATATCACGTTTGCTGTTTATTTTGTGTTCTTAAAAAAAAAAACAACACTTTCTTTCCGGCCTAATCACGGACTGAAATGTACTTCAAAAAACGTTCTCTATTTCTCCTTATCATAGGTAGCTTGTTTCAATCGATGCTATTATATTCAGGGAGGAAAAGCATCACATGGTTACGGGTTTCAAAACATCCCATCCACGATCAACATTTTAATCAATCTGTTATTTGCTTGCAAATTATTGTTTTAATTTTAATTTTATGATGATAAATCTGCTTTAATTAATGTTGTTTGTTAATCTTGGTGCCGTTGTATAGTCTCCTTCCTGGGTGTAATATATATAACGAAATCATTTCAACAAATGACCTTCCACTAATCGGAAATGTATGTTCTTTATCGGAAACAACCTTTTCTTTCAATAGATTAATGGCATATGACTAATCAGTGGTCTCATCACTCGTGCATTGTCTTCTTTATGTCATAACATGTGGTTCATTTTTACGACCGTTTATACATACATAACAAAGACTTTATTTATACTCGAATTTACAGAGTAGCTATATAGCCAATAAATTCGTGATTGATGATTAGGATAGGAAGACAACAAAAAAGACTCCCCTTTTAGTTGTCAAATTATCGACCACAAATTCTCCCTAATTACTGGTGCCCGCAGATTTCCGATGCAAACCTTTCGGAAAATTCGATTACCTTTGTGTCAATCAATAGCTTGACACTGAAAAATCACAGCAGTTTAGGTCCTAACCTAATCTAAGTGAAATATATAATTGCTAAACAGTTAGTCACTTGGCCAAGCACGTTCTCCAGTCAGTTTTTCTCTACAGGTCGCTGCAGCGAGACAGCGAAGGAGACACTGGAGTTTAGTAGATTCCGCAACAATAATTTGTCTTTTGAATTTCTACAGTTTACCAAGAAAGCCATCATGAGCATTGTGAGGTCAACTGGCTTGCTTTTTTTTTCCGTTTTCTTGTTCATCCTGTTTTCTGCCGAAGGAGCAGGGAACTGTGAGATCGAATTGATTCACGGATGTATTTCTAAGTACAAGGGGATTCTCAGAGCCAAACCCAATCCGGAAGATCATTGCTCACGTGTCCAGGTAAATCAAGTGATTCTACAAATAGCTTGTTGTAAGTTGTTCGTATTTTTGTAAATTAGCCTTCTTCTTGCTGTAGTCTATAAATTACTCTTCAAGTTGGAAAACAAGGTGATCACTGTCGGCGTATTTTTGGACTGTATAAGCCTTTCTTGCTTTTCTCAGTGACTTCATTCATTCTTTTCTTCCTTTTCCCCCACCTCATCACTTCTACCTGCCACAAAATTGACATTTCAAAGTTCCAGCTCTATCGGATATAGTACTAGTTTACCCAAATTAAAACTAGTCACTTAGTTATTTCTTTTGAATTTCTCGTTGAATCACAGGACGTTGTATTATCCTTTGCTGAGAATCCTTCTTGCAAAGGACCATCAATAAACCGCTTTCGCTTCTGGATTTTGCAAGAAGCAATGTTAGAAGTCAAACTAAAAATCTGCCCACAAGTGAACTACAAAAGCCTGAAGGATTGTGTTGAAAACACAGGTAAATGAAACTGAAATATTATTGCACAGAGAGTGAATTTACGACCCAACTTCATATACCTGATTTTAAACCCAAATTAGGTCATACTTTTCTCTCGAGGACGGCGAGCTCTGAAGGAAGAGAATACCTAAATATGAAATAATTTCTTCTCGTACCGGTCAGATTGGCCGGTGTCTTAGAAGTATTTCATGGGTAGATTAAGATATTCTAGTAATATATCAAACACTAAAGACCGTGTTTGACCACATTTCAAAACACCGAGAAGAGAGTTGCAAATACGACGCGCCGCGGAGTATTTTTGACGAAATTCGAGGTGTTTGGAAATGTGGTCAAATACTGTCTGGAGCGTTTGATATATCTTCTCAATCGAAACTAAAACTAAGGAGAAAACGTAGAAATAATCGTAAAATCCCATGCTAATTAAGATCAGATATCCAAACACCATCACGGTCATGACTTCCTTTGTCTAAACTTGATGAGTTATATAATGAGTTTGAGAAGAGGAGAGTCAAAACTTTAAGGCCACAAATTTGCTTTAAACTCTCTCGAATTGCTAAAGAAAAATAAATAAAAATAAAACCAGAAACAGTCACAATAATGGTAAGCCTGTATGTATACGTTATAAACTCTAAAAATTAAATTATTTAGTAGAAGTCCATAAATGTGCTTTATGCTCTCTAAATTACTAAATAAATAAAATAAATAAAATAAAACCAGAAACAGCCACAGTAATGGTAAGCCTGTGTTTATACATTATAAACTCTAACAATTAAAGTATTTCGTAAGAATGAAAAGAAACTTAATACAAACATAATATCAATAATTATAAAGCAACATAGCAATCTCAATGAAAATATAATAGAATAATATTATAATATCAGTCTTCTGAGGTTCAATTCAAACTTTTTATACGCAGATGTTGCCAAGGAGCATACACTGGTTGAAAACTATGGTAAGGAATTCTTAATAATAATAACTAATTCATCGAATTAATAATTATAAATGCAGTCTTTCACAATCGCTGGTTCCTTTATAAACGCTATAACTGAGGTTGGTGGTCATTAGAATGTTATTTGTTGTTGTTGTTGTTGTTGTTGTTGTTGTTGTTTTTCAGGCCTCGGAGACTCGTTCGACCCATGTGCTGCCGAAGTTCATACCATGTGCAGTAAAACGTTCCTGGATTTGATGAAGCAAAACGAACGCATTTGTGGTGATTCGGCCCAGTGGTTTGCATGCTACCGTAAAGTAGCCGAGAAAAAGAACTGCAACTCGCCAATTATCAAAAATTACGCTGATTTTGTCGAAAAGATGGGAATTCAACTTGTCAGTGATGCCTTGTTTGCGAATTCATGTAGCATCGCAATCTAAAGGTTTTTATCGTTGTCTCCTAAACATATACATGTTGAACGAACAAAGTTATCTCAATCAGAGAATAAAACTGAATACGATCTCCGTCTACTACTCTTTTGTTAATGCTGTTGTTGTTAATTGATGTGCTATAGAGAGCACTTCAGGCCCAGGTATTCATTTGAAAAAACAAACGAACAAATAATGAACAAGTCAAAGAATGCCTGTAACCCTAACCCTGACTTTCCATTTCCGGGTTGCCTTGAAACATTTCAAAACGATTCCTGGCGGAAAACCTTTCATATGAAAATACACTAGTTTTGTAAGACCGTGAACGAGAAAGTGAAGCTCGTCTCCCTTGGAAAAGGTTTCCACCTGGATTTGTTTTAAAACAAAAGGATCTGTAGTGCTATGAATTTCTATGGCTCTAAGAATTTCCGTTTGTTCCAATTACACTGGCAAGCTCATAAACCAGACCTCTTTCGTTCGTTTTGGTATATGTTCCCTAATTTAACCCATTTAAGATCAAAAGGTAGATCAAGTTAACTTTTTACGTTATGCATTCAAAGAAACATTCATATGGAAAAACCATTCAAAGAACCAAACTCCTGGCTCATTTAAACATTGTTCACAGAAAATAGGATTATCATAAGGATGAAATGCTCGGGCAGGGTGAACGCTACCATCATCGGGACTAGTTCAGAGAGGGCTCATTTCATTAACTTGACTAACATCGTCTGATCGGTGTAAATGGCGTACGGACGGACGGACGGACACCGCACGAAAAATCACACTGATGACAACCAAACTTTTTCGGAGGCTAATGAGTTCCGTTAAATCCGTCAATATCTCCCGCAAAATTTGCGCATCAGCTATTCTGCTGTCCCAGATTATAGTCTGATTGCTTATTAAGCATGTTGTTGTTTAGCAAGAAAGCGAAGAAGAAGTATCCACGTACCCAGAGTCAATCTCGAGCCTAGACCTCGCGAGCTCCCCTGCACCAGTTCCCGACCGCTCGTCTCGGGGAAGCGCGGGCTCTGGGTACGATATTCGCACGCGAAAACTTGAGGATGCGCAGATGAAAGTGGCGGCAATTTCAAAATAATACTTCATTTTTTGGAGCTGTTTATTCCGTTAAGAAAAGAGGTATGTGCAGTTTCAATGTACTGAACCGTTCTTACATTCTTGCACTATTCCTGTCCTAGCTGTTTTGTGTTAACATTCAAGAATATTCCGAAGTGAGTCGACAGCTAGAATTGAACCTTTGCGTTTTCCAACATTGGTTTTAAGGCGTAGTACATGACCAAATATATATATATCAAAAGTCGCTCAAATTATTTAAAAACACAACGTAGCAATAGAAAGCAAAACCAAATATTGTATCGTGAACTTCATTTCGCGATTTCAACATTATTTAACGGCAGAAAGTGCTAAATACCATACAAACTATAAGTTCTTACGCTTTCAAAATGCCAATTCAATTTTTCCTCAGTCAAGAATGTTTTCCTTCACAAATATATGCGCGAATTAGTTCCTCTTTAGTGAGCTATCATAATTTTCTATGATTATTCCACAGAATGTGGAAACATTGGTCTATACACCGAAGACAAAAATCACTAAATTGAAGGGGCCGAACATGCCGAATTGAAAACCAAAGTCAACAGGTGATAGGTAAGCGTACCTATTTTTTTTTTCTTTTTTGTTTTTTTTTTTTTTTTTTTTGTCACACTGAAGTAAAAAAAATTCTTGTTTCTGAAATTGCATTTGAGTCTCGTCCGCTTGATTACAATTCCACACGTGCTCACGTTCTGAGTATTTTGTTGTGAATTGCACGTGACAAAAGCGGTATGTTAAATAGGCTGAGAAAAAACCAGAGCATCGTTCCGTGGAAAACAAAAGGACTGTTAATGATTGTGTGCTATTAAGTGTTCATTCAGGATCTAAGTTCTCCTAACATCTTTTGACAACTGAAACAGTAGTATCATCATCATCATCATCACAACATGGTCTTATGACACCAATAGTGCGAGCATGTCCCACCATTGAGCCTTGTCTACTGCCATGGACTCCAGATCTTGATCAATTCCGGCTAGTTTAGCATTGCGTTCCACGTCATCTCTCCATCGAGTGCGACACCTTCCCCTTCTTCGCTTCGCATTCTCAGGCCTCCATTGTAATAAGGCTTTGGGAAGTGTTTCCTGACCCATACGACTGACATGGCCAAACCATCTTAATCTTTTAGTCTTTAGAAGCAAGAACGCTGGAGTCTGTATCCGAAAATTTCTTTATTTTGGTATTTCAAAGATTGACTTTGCAAAATTTATTTGGCATTTCCTCCCACAAAATATTTCCCAAGATTTTTTGACACATTGTCAACGTGGCAAATTTGTCAACTTATAATGATAAGCAAATTTTTCCGAAAATGACATCGATAATTGATTAGATCGAAACAAGTTACTGACGAAATCCATTAGTTTTAAAAATTCAATCCGTTTTTCTTTCTTTCCATTTCGTATAGAAAAAAGCATTTGGGCTTCAATGGGATTCATACCCATGATGCAGTTTAGACCAGCCAAGACTGCAGTTCTTAACTGCTTAATCTCAGAGCTGCAAAGCTACAGGCCTGCAAACAGGCTCCCGGTTAGGTTTAGTGCGAGCTAGTCGAGTGTGGTCTAGGGCGAGCGGGGCTAGCCGAAAACGGTCTGGTGGTGGAGGGGAGCGCATGGGAGCGCATGAGCAGGATATTATTCAAACAAGGAAATGAATTTCGGATGCAGAGCGCTAAATTTGAAAGCGTCTGTCTGACAAAAGCACTGAAATATATAGAAAATAGTACAAACTGGCGGAAGGAGACCAGTGTATGTGTTACTCCAAAAGTCTTTAAAATGTCTTCATTTTACGAAACGCTGCGTGTTGATCGGGAGCTCTCTTTGGAGCTCGTTGAAACCCTGGTCAACCCTGCATTTACCCATATGTATACTCTTCCCACTGATACTGCTACCCAGATCAATAGCGCAAGCACTTGCGGATAAACACAAGGCTTTTTGCGCAACTGATCTTTCAGGAGTTGAAGTCGTCTAACTCACCACGAACAAATACAACGCTAAAGCAGACGAAGAGCTCTATTCACCTCAGCGGCTTCAGGAAAGACAACCAAAGACAGGTCTTTCGCACCAAATTGTTCCGAAATCGACAAAATCACTTAGTCGAGCGCAGCACGAGGAATTTGCAACGTCTCTTTTTTTCTTAAAGTACTGAGGCAAAATGTCTGGAACAAAATGTCCTCTTACAACTGAACTGTGACGGCGATTATTTTACACCTCTCATTCTCATAGAAAATTTTATCTTTGCTTACCTACCTGTGTATCATAACAGTGCACTTGGGGTTATACAATCAAAAAACAGAGTTGATGCAAATTGGTGATAAGACCAAAAAGGTGCTGACTCCATCCCACCCTGTTGTTTCCGGCTATCTTGTCCAAAACGTTGTTTTCTCGGTTCAAAAAATGCATTAGACTTTATATTCATTAAATTTCATCTTTACTGCTGAGAATCAAATTTTCCACGCATCTTTACTTGAAAAAAGAACAAAGGACACTGGTTAAAATGATTGATTTGTTGGCTTCGAGTAATGGATATAATTATATAAATTTAAGAAGATACCGTAGACAGGTTTCAAGGTCAACCATCAATGGAAGAGTGGTTTTAAAAATGAACATTACGCACAACATCATTCCACGACCACTTCGCCCATTTTAACGAAGTCTAAGCCCAAACCTTCTGGCCCTTTCAACTATTATATCTCGCGTGTTTTTAATTTGTTTGCCTGAAAATAAAACTCGTTCTTGGAATAAAAACAAGCAAAAAATCCCCGCGACGCAGGCTGATGAGCGCTGGATGTAGGCCAAGTACAAAGGTCGGTACGCCCACACGAGCTACACTAACTCAAAATACTTCTCGTGAGGTGCGTTTATTTCACCTTTGAAAAGAAAAATCATAAAAAATATGACCACAAGTGTAACAAAAGAAATCAAGTTTACATTTTAGGTTTCGACAAGCATTTTAACGATCACAATCTAAATTTCTAAGAGGATTCATTTTATTTAGAGAGGAAGCCACATCAGCCTTACCTGGTTTTCATCCGGGTCCTCTGTCCTGGTCGAATGCGAATTCTCCAAGCAAATTGCCTTTTTTACACAACAGACAGCAAGCTTTTAGGGGACAAGACGCAGGGGATCGTATTTTTTTCAAATCAACTAGCCTTATGCAAATCTCAAAACTCGGGTCTAACATTTCATTTATTCAAAGCCAGGCTGAACATATTGAATGATGAACTAGTTAATATCCCTATGTCGTACTTCTGTCATTGCACTGTATCTACACGCATTGTAAAACATATCTGACGATACATGACCATTTTTCGCTTGATTTGTAAACCAACCAAGTGTTTTTATTAACTAAGCAAAAAAACCAAAACGGAGATAACAAAGCAAAACTAAATACGCTGGCACAACACGGCAAAGGTTTAAATGCCATCGGTCTTACTACGATTTATTGAAACGTTTATACGATAAAATATCGTTGATTTATTTTTGAGGTGTGTTTTACTTTTTGTGTTAGGTAAGAACACTTGTGATATGATATATAAATTAGATGTCAGTAAGGTACGCTTCGCATCGATCGTGATAGATTTCTTTTGGTAATAAATTAATTATAGCTGATAACCCTATTTCCCAAATAATGTATTATAGAGAAATAGGACATACAATTTATACACCTAGTGCAACGATTATATTCCGCTATTCAAAGACTCGAACTTTTATGTATACGCACAAGATGCAATACATTTTTTCTTTTGAATATTTCACATCTAAATGAATGATTTTACAGTTCGGCTACAAAAAAGAACTCTGTATAAATTATATGAATGAAAACTGTTGATGTTAACAATACTTTTCTAACAAATAATTATCAATCTGAGCAAGCCGTGGCGGTACACCGTCAAATGCGACTCATTTGTGACCACTTATATTATTTTAACATTGTCCAGTTTACAAAGAAATTGCCTGGATGGGGTTGGTTGGAGTAGCTGCTCTGTAGAATGGTCTTAAGATGAAATCCGATAGGAGTTGAGCAATTTCAGTTCTCAGTGGACAAAAATCTTGTTCCAGAATAATGTTTTTAAGTGTATTAAAATCGTTTTTGCATTTTCTAAAAGCTACAGATATAAATAATGGCCTGAAATAACATCAAAAACAATTTCCCATGGGAACTCGAGAAAGTAAATTTCAAAGTTCAGAGAAATTGTGCAGACACAGGTAATATTTCATCATCAGTTTCATTTCAGCAGTACTTTCAATTGTTTCATGTGAACTTCGCACAGAAGTTTACAAATGATACAAATAATCTCGGTACAAAATCTTTGTCCACTTGTTACTCGAACTTCTGATGATTCCTTTTTAATGTTTAATTAGCAAACTTAAGGACGTTCGCGCGAAAATTTTCTAACATCGATTTTTTTTTTCTCAGACTGTTACCACTGCAAGATGATGAGCTAGTTATGTCAGAAATGTAAAAACAATGCGGGGTCACCGACTTCGTTTTGGACATAACATGCCCGGAAGAACAACCTAAATCTGAAAAAATCCGGCTTCGTTAACGAATCAAGGCACCGTGTCTGTAAGCCCAAAAGTATTGCAATTAGATCTGTGAAGTGAAATGTTCTCTGCCAAATATTGTTTAAGTGGACCTGCGATCATACCCTCCCTCCCTTATATTCAGACGTTCCAAAAAAAAAAAAGCGCCTGATCGCAGGTTAAAGTGGACCTATTAAGTGAATTTAGTCAACTGGCGAGGTTCCTTAAAGCATTTAGCGACCATAGTTTCACGCGCCTTACAGCCACAAAATGGCAGGATTCGATTTCCCTTGGACAGAAATGTTTAATTTTTTTTTTTTTTCTTTTTTTTTACTTCCCACATTGATTTTTTTTGTTCATTTTTGGATAATGTGGAGATAATTGTAAATGGAATCTATTTCTAGAAACAAAAGTGGGGATCACCGAACGTCCAAGATCGTTAAATCCAAGCAAAGCTATAGCAATGGCCATCAACCCTATCATTGTTCGTTTTAGTACTTAGCGCGCGCGCTCGATGCATAACGTGGCGTATGAATTTGCGCGCGCAGTAAGGATGCGCAGAAACAATTAGCGCGAACGTCCTTAACAGCCACTTGCATTAATAGGACCAAGAGAGGATGAAGGGTAAGAGAGTTAATCCCTCATTTATACCTTAATACCAAGGTAATCCCTCTCTAATTATTTTTAGATCACTCCCAGCTTCAGAAATCCTAGGAGGGTTTAGAAATAGCCAATCCCGTGACGCAAAGTTTACTCACGTAAACAGTGCGCCTCTTCAAAAATATCTACAGAACGCTCAGTAACATTATACGTACGGAAAATCGATACAACATTAAAAATAACTTGAGAGGGTTTACCATGCGACCTTTCTTCCTCTCTTGGTAATGTTGTAATTTTAAGACTTAGTTTCCTTAAAATTACTGTTTCGTAGACGTAGTATTATATATGACTCGCGAAGGGTTTCATTTAAAGTTGTCTTTGTTTTCTGAAGACAGATCGTTGTATTTTTCATGCAGATTAATGTAAAGCTAAATGTCAATTTACTATCTTCACCAGCATTTTTTGGAAAGATATAAAGCCGGATGATCGATTCCTCTTTGGTCAAACTGGTGATACGTTAAGTTGCGTTTCTTCGCCTTGTTTTGACTGATTGCTGTAATCCAGTTGCAAAATCCTCGCAGTCAGACTCGCACAGGGCTCGTCACCATCATCTAATACTTCGTCCATTCGAGACTTTTTCTTGATTTTCTTTGGCACAAAAGGCGTGGTGTTTGTGTCACCAATACTCGGCGTCGAAGACCTTTGAGATCTTCTTGCGTTCAGGTGTGCTCGCTGTCCAGTTAGAATTTTCTTAAGGGCCCTTCGAAAATCTGGCTTCATGAACGAGTACAAGATTGGATTGACAAGAGATCCAAACACCACACAGAAAGGTGAGAAATCTATTAAAAGGCCTGGAACAACTTCACCATGACCAAAAGCAGCCGCTGCAGTGTAAAACAAAGTTGGAAAGTAGCTTAACACAAACATTAACGATGCGATGGCGAAGACTCTTGCCACCTTCGCCTCAGAGGATACTTTCCTCACGCCGTTTTTCAGTTCCGCTTTGGTGTTATGCGAAGAGATACTGAGCTCTCTCTCTCGCCGCACACATTGCCTGACCAACCGAAATATCTTGTAATTTGCATAGACTATTAAAATATAAGGAAGAGCTATGCAAATAACAAGCACGAGGCAGATGTAAATCTTGGTGTTGAGAAGTTGGGTATTTCCTTTCCAAGTGAGAGGTATACAAGCGACGACTACTGAAAAAACCCAAATTGCCGGAACCAGGATTTTGAAAACTTTAGATATTGTCTCCGTGTACGAAAATGGATACAAAATCGCCAAATATCTGTCATAAGTCACTGCACAAAGGTTTGCTGCTCCTACGAAGAGCACCACGGCGTACAGGACATTGAGGGTAGCTTTTGACCACACATGAAGTTCAGCGTTATATTGGATAAACATGGAGACGCCTGTCAAGATGTCAGAGATCGCCAATGAAACTACAAATCCGTTTGTGTAGTTTCTCATCGATTTCACCTTGTACACCAACAAACAGACCATCGTGTTTGTTACTATGGTGCTCACCGACAGGATACTCAGTGGAATGACAACCCTTGGCGAAAATCTTTCGTCAGCCATTTTGGGGTCCTTGACTCCAGGGTCGAGTTTCACCTTCCTGTCGCTGCTGTTTTGCTGTGATGAAGCTTCTCCTGACAAGCTGTTTAATAAAGAGAGTTTCTTTCTTATCTCGGATATTGCTTACCCTTGTGGTTAATAAAAATCATTTATTTTTTCATGAGTACGATTGATGATAGCTCCACCAGTTCCAAATAATCAATTGCTGTCGGTGAATATCATTGTTGTACTTGCACTCGAGTATTCGGCTGCTCGCTCACTGCTCTCATATCACGCGCAATCTATTTTCCTGAAGCCCTGCAAACACAAAATATTTGTTATCAGGTTGAATGTTAACAAAAGGTTTTTACAAAACTCTTAGCTTATATAGCGTCAGTTGTAAAGCGGTTGCAATATCGTTACATATATTTTGTCGACATGTTCAACTTCCTTTGTCACAGTTAACCTGTGTTCTGATTTCTTTTTAGCGTGGAATTAACAATTAGCTAAATAAATGTGTTTTAAACAATATACATGTAGTATTTTTTCCTATTCTGCTTTTTCATATCTACTTCTTTTGGCTAACATGTTTAAAATCTATTGTCTTGACGAAGTTAAAACTTACCGACTGTACACAAACATGATATACATTTGGTGTTTACTACAATCTGAACAGGTCCTTTTCCTAACACTCTTATAATTCGGTCATTTTTTATGAACAATGCTCAAATGCGCGGTACGAGTTGATGGTGTTGTTTTTCAATTACTGGGATCCTACTGCGGCCAGGGCAATCCATCACCCGCAAAGAGAAGATTCGCTAACGACGAAGGAAAGCTTTTCTGGCGTTATTTGTTAAGTAATCAATATACCTGGTGGAATAAATTTACCTCAGAGAAAATTGCTTTTGATGTTGATTATACTTTCGTATGGCTTACCGATCAAATTGTATTGTTTTGCACTTGGGGAAGGTGCTCCTGGCTCTACTTTTCTCAAATATTAGGACTTTTAAATGAAGTGATATCCGGGGGAACAGAATACATTACAAGAGCGAGGGATATACAGGTTATTGTCTTTCCAATGCTGCGGTGCGGTTTTCACACTTTCGACTAAGCGCCAATTTAAATTGGTCAATTTTAGTATGCAGCTGTTGAAAGCGAGAAAACAGTGCAATCCCATCGAAAAAGAAAAGGAAGCATTCCGTGCAAAGAAAATTACATTTTTTTTTTTTTTTTTTTTGTCACACTGAAGTAAAAAAAATTCTTGTTTCTGAAATTGCATTTGAGTCTCGTCCGCTTGATTACAATTCCACACGTGCTCACGTTCTGAGTATTTTGTTGTGAATTGCACGTGACAAAAGCGGTATGTTAAATAGGCTGAGAAAAAACCAGAGCATCGTTCCGTGGAAAACAAAAGGACTGTTAATGATTGTGTGCTATTAAGTGTTCATTCAGGATCTAAGTTCTCCTAACATCTTTTGACAACTGAAACAGTAGTATCATCATCATCATCATCACAACATGGTCTTATGACACCAATAGTGCGAGCATGTCCCACCATTGAGCCTTGTCTACTGCCATGGACTCCAGATCTTGATCAATTCCGGCTAGTTTAGCATTGCGTTCCACGTCATCTCTCCATCGAGTGCGACACCTTCCCCTTCTTCGCTTCGCATTCTCAGGCCTCCATTGTAATAAGGCTTTGGGAAGTGTTTCCTGACCCATACGACTGACATGGCCAAACCATCTTAATCTTTTAGTCTTTAGAAGCAAGAACGCTGGAGTCTGTATCCGAAAATTTCTTTATTTTGGTATTTCAAAGATTGACTTTGCAAAATTTATTTGGCATTTCCTCCCACAAAATATTTCCCAAGATTTTTTGACACATTGTCAACGTGGCAAATTTGTCAACTTATAATGATAAGCAAATTTTTCCGAAAATGACATCGATAATTGATTAGATCGAAACAAGTTACTGACGAAATCCATTAGTTTTAAAAATTCAATCCGTTTTTCTTTCTTTCCATTTCGTATAGAAAAAAGCATTTGGGCTTCAATGGGATTCATACCCATGATGCAGTTTAGACCAGCCAAGACTGCAGTTCTTAACTGCTTAATCTCAGAGCTGCAAAGCTACAGGCCTGCAAACAGGCTCCCGGTTAGGTTTAGTGCGAGCTAGTCGAGTGTGGTCTAGGGCGAGCGGGGCTAGCCGAAAACGGTCTGGTGGTGGAGGGGAGCGCATGGGAGCGCATGAGCAGGATATTATTCAAACAAGGAAATGAATTTCGGATGCAGAGCGCTAAATTTGAAAGCGTCTGTCTGACAAAAGCACTGAAATATATAGAAAATAGTACAAACTGGCGGAAGGAGACCAGTGTATGTGTTACTCCAAAAGTCTTTAAAATGTCTTCATTTTACGAAACGCTGCGTGTTGATCGGGAGCTCTCTTTGGAGCTCGTTGAAACCCTGGTCAACCCTGCATTTACCCATATGTATACTCTTCCCACTGATACTGCTACCCAGATCAATAGCGCAAGCACTTGCGGATAAACACAAGGCTTTTTGCGCAACTGATCTTTCAGGAGTTGAAGTCGTCTAACTCACCACGAACAAATACAACGCTAAAGCAGACGAAGAGCTCTATTCACCTCAGCGGCTTCAGGAAAGACAACCAAAGACAGGTCTTTCGCACCAAATTGTTCCGAAATCGACAAAATCACTTAGTCGAGCGCAGCACGAGGAATTTGCAACGTCTCTTTTTTTCTTAAAGTACTGAGGCAAAATGTCTGGAACAAAATGTCCTCTTACAACTGAACTGTGACGGCGATTATTTTACACCTCTCATTCTCATAGAAAATTTTATCTTTGCTTACCTACCTGTGTATCATAACAGTGCACTTGGGGTTATACAATCAAAAAACAGAGTTGATGCAAATTGGTGATAAGACCAAAAAGGTGCTGACTCCATCCCACCCTGTTGTTTCCGGCTATCTTGTCCAAAACGTTGTTTTCTCGGTTCAAAAAATGCATTAGACTTTATATTCATTAAATTTCATCTTTACTGCTGAGAATCAAATTTTCCACGCATCTTTACTTGAAAAAAGAACAAAGGACACTGGTTAAAATGATTGATTTGTTGGCTTCGAGTAATGGATATAATTATATAAATTTAAGAAGATACCGTAGACAGGTTTCAAGGTCAACCATCAATGGAAGAGTGGTTTTAAAAATGAACATTACGCACAACATCATTCCACGACCACTTCGCCCATTTTAACGAAGTCTAAGCCCAAACCTTCTGGCCCTTTCAACTATTATATCTCGCGTGTTTTTAATTTGTTTGCCTGAAAATAAAACTCGTTCTTGGAATAAAAACAAGCAAAAAATCCCCGCGACGCAGGCTGATGAGCGCTGGATGTAGGCCAAGTACAAAGGTCGGTACGCCCACACGAGCTACACTAACTCAAAATACTTCTCGTGAGGTGCGTTTATTTCACCTTTGAAAAGAAAAATCATAAAAAATATGACCACAAGTGTAACAAAAGAAATCAAGTTTACATTTTAGGTTTCGACAAGCATTTTAACGATCACAATCTAAATTTCTAAGAGGATTCATTTTATTTAGAGAGGAAGCCACATCAGCCTTACCTGGTTTTCATCCGGGTCCTCTGTCCTGGTCGAATGCGAATTCTCCAAGCAAATTGCCTTTTTTACACAACAGACAGCAAGCTTTTAGGGGACAAGACGCAGGGGATCGTATTTTTTTCAAATCAACTAGCCTTATGCAAATCTCAAAACTCGGGTCTAACATTTCATTTATTCAAAGCCAGGCTGAACATATTGAATGATGAACTAGTTAATATCCCTATGTCGTACTTCTGTCATTGCACTGTATCTACACGCATTGTAAAACATATCTGACGATACATGACCATTTTTCGCTTGATTTGTAAACCAACCAAGTGTTTTTATTAACTAAGCAAAAAAACCAAAACGGAGATAACAAAGCAAAACTAAATACGCTGGCACAACACGGCAAAGGTTTAAATGCCATCGGTCTTACTACGATTTATTGAAACGTTTATACGATAAAATATCGTTGATTTATTTTTGAGGTGTGTTTTACTTTTTGTGTTAGGTAAGAACACTTGTGATATGATATATAAATTAGATGTCAGTAAGGTACGCTTCGCATCGATCGTGATAGATTTCTTTTGGTAATAAATTAATTATAGCTGATAACCCTATTTCCCAAATAATGTATTATAGAGAAATAGGACATACAATTTATACACCTAGTGCAACGATTATATTCCGCTATTCAAAGACTCGAACTTTTATGTATACGCACAAGATGCAATACATTTTTTCTTTTGAATATTTCACATCTAAATGAATGATTTTACAGTTCGGCTACAAAAAAGAACTCTGTATAAATTATATGAATGAAAACTGTTGATGTTAACAATACTTTTCTAACAAATAATTATCAATCTGAGCAAGCCGTGGCGGTACACCGTCAAATGCGACTCATTTGTGACCACTTATATTATTTTAACATTGTCCAGTTTACAAAGAAATTGCCTGGATGGGGTTGGTTGGAGTAGCTGCTCTGTAGAATGGTCTTAAGATGAAATCCGATAGGAGTTGAGCAATTTCAGTTCTCAGTGGACAAAAATCTTGTTCCAGAATAATGTTTTTAAGTGTATTAAAATCGTTTTTGCATTTTCTAAAAGCTACAGATATAAATAATGGCCTGAAATAACATCAAAAACAATTTCCCATGGGAACTCGAGAAAGTAAATTTCAAAGTTCAGAGAAATTGTGCAGACACAGGTAATATTTCATCATCAGTTTCATTTCAGCAGTACTTTCAATTGTTTCATGTGAACTTCGCACAGAAGTTTACAAATGATACAAATAATCTCGGTACAAAATCTTTGTCCACTTGTTACTCGAACTTCTGATGATTCCTTTTTAATGTTTAATTAGCAAACTTAAGGACGTTCGCGCGAAAATTTTCTAACATCGATTTTTTTTTTTCTCAGACTGTTACCACTGCAAGATGATGAGCTAGTTATGTCAGAAATGTAAAAACAATGCGGGGTCACCGACTTCGTTTTGGACATAACATGCCCGGAAGAACAACCTAAATCTGAAAAAATCCGGCTTCGTTAACGAATCAAGGCACCGTGTCTGTAAGCCCAAAAGTATTGCAATTAGATCTGTGAAGTGAAATGTTCTCTGCCAAATATTGTTTAAGTGGACCTGCGATCATACCCTCCCTCCCTTATATTCAGACGTTCCAAAAAAAAAAAAGCGCCTGATCGCAGGTTAAAGTGGACCTATTAAGTGAATTTAGTCAACTGGCGAGGTTCCTTAAAGCATTTAGCGACCATAGTTTCACGCGCCTTACAGCCACAAAATGGCAGGATTCGATTTCCCTTGGACAGAAATGTTTAATTTTTTTTTTTTTTCTTTTTTTTTACTTCCCACATTGATTTTTTTTGTTCATTTTTGGATAATGTGGAGATAATTGTAAATGGAATCTATTTCTAGAAACAAAAGTGGGGATCACCGAACGTCCAAGATCGTTAAATCCAAGCAAAGCTATAGCAATGGCCATCAACCCTATCATTGTTCGTTTTAGTACTTAGCGCGCGCGCTCGATGCATAACGTGGCGTATGAATTTGCGCGCGCAGTAAGGATGCGCAGAAACAATTAGCGCGAACGTCCTTAACAGCCACTTGCATTAATAGGACCAAGAGAGGATGAAGGGTAAGAGAGTTAATCCCTCATTTATACCTTAATACCAAGGTAATCCCTCTCTAATTATTTTTAGATCACTCCCAGCTTCAGAAATCCTAGGAGGGTTTAGAAATAGCCAATCCCGTGACGCAAAGTTTACTCACGTAAACAGTGCGCCTCTTCAAAAATATCTACAGAACGCTCAGTAACATTATACGTACGGAAAATCGATACAACATTAAAAATAACTTGAGAGGGTTTACCATGCGACCTTTCTTCCTCTCTTGGTAATGTTGTAATTTTAAGACTTAGTTTCCTTAAAATTACTGTTTCGTAGACGTAGTATTATATATGACTCGCGAAGGGTTTCATTTAAAGTTGTCTTTGTTTTCTGAAGACAGATCGTTGTATTTTTCATGCAGATTAATGTAAAGCTAAATGTCAATTTACTATCTTCACCAGCATTTTTTGGAAAGATATAAAGCCGGATGATCGATTCCTCTTTGGTCAAACTGGTGATACGTTAAGTTGCGTTTCTTCGCCTTGTTTTGACTGATTGCTGTAATCCAGTTGCAAAATCCTCGCAGTCAGACTCGCACAGGGCTCGTCACCATCATCTAATACTTCGTCCATTCGAGACTTTTTCTTGATTTTCTTTGGCACAAAAGGCGTGGTGTTTGTGTCACCAATACTCGGCGTCGAAGACCTTTGAGATCTTCTTGCGTTCAGGTGTGCTCGCTGTCCAGTTAGAATTTTCTTAAGGGCCCTTCGAAAATCTGGCTTCATGAACGAGTACAAGATTGGATTGACAAGAGATCCAAACACCACACAGAAAGGTGAGAAATCTATTAAAAGGCCTGGAACAACTTCACCATGACCAAAAGCAGCCGCTGCAGTGTAAAACAAAGTTGGAAAGTAGCTTAACACAAACATTAACGATGCGATGGCGAAGACTCTTGCCACCTTCGCCTCAGAGGATACTTTCCTCACGCCGTTTTTCAGTTCCGCTTTGGTGTTATGCGAAGAGATACTGAGCTCTCTCTCTCGCCGCACACATTGCCTGACCAACCGAAATATCTTGTAATTTGCATAGACTATTAAAATATAAGGAAGAGCTATGCAAATAACAAGCACGAGGCAGATGTAAATCTTGGTGTTGAGAAGTTGGGTATTTCCTTTCCAAGTGAGAGGTATACAAGCGACGACTACTGAAAAAACCCAAATTGCCGGAACCAGGATTTTGAAAACTTTAGATATTGTCTCCGTGTACGAAAATGGATACAAAATCGCCAAATATCTGTCATAAGTCACTGCACAAAGGTTTGCTGCTCCTACGAAGAGCACCACGGCGTACAGGACATTGAGGGTAGCTTTTGACCACACATGAAGTTCAGCGTTATATTGGATAAACATGGAGACGCCTGTCAAGATGTCAGAGATCGCCAATGAAACTACAAATCCGTTTGTGTAGTTTCTCATCGATTTCACCTTGTACACCAACAAACAGACCATCGTGTTTGTTACTATGGTGCTCACCGACAGGATACTCAGTGGAATGACAACCCTTGGCGAAAATCTTTCGTCAGCCATTTTGGGGTCCTTGACTCCAGGGTCGAGTTTCACCTTCCTGTCGCTGCTGTTTTGCTGTGATGAAGCTTCTCCTGACAAGCTGTTTAATAAAGAGAGTTTCTTTCTTATCTCGGATATTGCTTACCCTTGTGGTTAATAAAAATCATTTATTTTTTCATGAGTACGATTGATGATAGCTCCACCAGTTCCAAATAATCAATTGCTGTCGGTGAATATCATTGTTGTACTTGCACTCGAGTATTCGGCTGCTCGCTCACTGCTCTCATATCACGCGCAATCTATTTTCCTGAAGCCCTGCAAACACAAAATATTTGTTATCAGGTTGAATGTTAACAAAAGGTTTTTACAAAACTCTTAGCTTATATAGCGTCAGTTGTAAAGCGGTTGCAATATCGTTACATATATTTTGTCGACATGTTCAACTTCCTTTGTCACAGTTAACCTGTGTTCTGATTTCTTTTTAGCGTGGAATTAACAATTAGCTAAATAAATGTGTTTTAAACAATATACATGTAGTATTTTTTCCTATTCTGCTTTTTCATATCTACTTCTTTTGGCTAACATGTTTAAAATCTATTGTCTTGACGAAGTTAAAACTTACCGACTGTACACAAACATGATATACATTTGGTGTTTACTACAATCTGAACAGGTCCTTTTCCTAACACTCTTATAATTCGGTCATTTTTTATGAACAATGCTCAAATGCGCGGTACGAGTTGATGGTGTTGTTTTTCAATTACTGGGATCCTACTGCGGCCAGGGCAATCCATCACCCGCAAAGAGAAGATTCGCTAACGACGAAGGAAAGCTTTTCTGGCGTTATTTGTTAAGTAATCAATATACCTGGTGGAATAAATTTACCTCAGAGAAAATTGCTTTTGATGTTGATTATACTTTCGTATGGCTTACCGATCAAATTGTATTGTTTTGCACTTGGGGAAGGTGCTCCTGGCTCTACTTTTCTCAAATATTAGGACTTTTAAATGAAGTGATATCCGGGGGAACAGAATACATTACAAGAGCGAGGGATATACAGGTTATTGTCTTTCCAATGCTGCGGTGCGGTTTTCACACTTTCGACTAAGCGCCAATTTAAATTGGTCAATTTTAGTATGCAGCTGTTGAAAGCGAGAAAACAGTGCAATCCCATCGAAAAAGAAAAGGAAGCATTCCGTGCAAAGAAAATTACGCTATTAAATGCTTTTTGGGCATAGTAGTTGGTTTTTTTTCTAACATTCCCAACACGCCTTCTAAATTAACACTTTGAAAATCATGAAGTGGTGAATTATATCGCAACATCGCAACAAGATTTGAACTTATCATTTTCATTTTTTTCACCAACAGCGCCCGCATCATTTTACGGTTTCACAAATTTAATCAGGTTAAATTTTGCCGTGTTTTGTTATCACTGATATTCGTGTTGGTGTAAGTGTCGGCGTTTTTAAGCTTGTTTCTACTATTTAGCCTTGAAATTAAGGAAGTTCTGTCGTGTTGTTCGATAAAAAGCCTTCATTTGAATAAAATTATTCTTAATATGTAAAATAAGCGGAAGGAAATACAATAATTAAAATCATCCAGGAGAAAAAAACAATTGTCATATTTTCGTGATCCTAACTTTTTTTTCCAAGCACGCACGAAAACAGCATTTTTTGCAATCAGTGTGAAAAGATGCTCTTCGGGGCGATTTAATTAAGGTTCTTTATTTTCAAGCAGAATGTATGTTGCTAATTAATCTTGTAACCAACATTTTATGAACAATACTAATTCACGCGAACACAGGTTTGCAGGAGCTATATCTCTTGCAAAGCCGTCACACGAGTCGTCAGTTACTAATTGGAAGTAAAAACTTCGATGTCGTAATGCCGTTGGTAAAATTAAGAAATGAGCGAAATGAGGTTTTCGCAAGCGAGTAACTCTTTAGGCCTCTGAATATAGATACCTAGACTTCTGATTCGCTTTGCTACTGGCGTCAGTTCTTGCCTTCTGTTTGCCATAGTTAATAGAGGGGAACCGTTTCCCTCTAAAAACTATGATTTGTAGTTTAGAAATCAGCATAAGCATAATGGTATTCGAAGGCGAACTGATAGGGAATACGATAGCAATTAGCAATTAATTATGTAACCTGAAAATTAAGAATTACCGTTATCTACACTGAGAACAAACGCAAGAAAATCACTTTTTAGACAGCTGTTACCTATTCAGATGAAGTGAAGGCCGAGGACATTCATTGAAAAAGCATCTTCTATTTTTCACTGACTCTTGGAACCAGTTTCGATTTTCCGTTCCTCGGTCAATGGATCAGTTGCAATGTTTATTTGATTTTGAAACCAAAACAAGAAAGAGGCTGGTCTTGCACTCCCATAATAATTAAAATTCTAATCCGCTAGCGATAAAACTCAGTTGGAATGAATATTCACGACAAAATATGAAAACCATTGTGGCTACGGTCTAGCTAGATACAAAGCTACGGAAAAGCTATGGCGACAGAGAGCTGTCTTTTTTATGATTGAATAACTCGAAACACAGCTGTAATTATTTAAGCTTATTAGTTTCAGTCGGTTTACCTTCGTCCTGAAGTAGCCTGCTTCTTTTTTAAAAACTCAAATGTTTTCTATTCACGTTGCATGGCTCAACATGGTAACCTGGACAATAGCATTGAAATTCTCCATTACTCCGAACATTGTAGCAATAATATAAGAAATCACAATACATCAGGCTATTATTCAGTTTCCCTCTCAGCTCCGAAACTCTGACTAATGATTTCACCGTAAACGATGCGTGCCGTACACGAAGTCTGAAGAAACGTATTTCTACTAGAACGTATGTGTAAGACGTAAATTAAACACGTTTAGCAAAACTACGTAGCGCTGCAAAATTGTAATGATAAAAACCAATGATAACACCGGACTTCATTGAGTCAGTTAGAGTTCCAAAAGCCCAAGTAAAGCTACCAACAGGACGTGACATTATCTCCAGCAAGCAATATAATTTAGAACGCACACTTTATTTACTGGCGATCAACAACTGTGGCTCATTGTGGTTAAAACTGAAATAGACACGAACAGAACAAACATAAACAAAGCGAAAATGGCGCAAACTAAAACCCAAGAAAGTAACAGACTTACATTTGTAATGCGATGCTGGGCTATAACTGGCTGAGATGCCGCTGTGATAAGACAACAACTGCACTAGATGCTTCGATTTCACTACTGCACTCCGATCCGCATTGCGAGAACTAAAAAAAAGCGCTGCTCACAGGCTATTTGAATAAATTACGTAACGATACAAGCGCCACATTCCAACACGTTGCACGATACAATACGAAATATACGTTCTAATTAACCGAACGCATATTAACACCATTTTGAGGCGTTTCGATCTTACACCAAGGTCAACTTTGAACCAAAATTTATTTTCAGTTGAGCCATATTCGAGCATTTGACTAAAATTCACTATCTGTTCATAACAATGACCTTTTATCTACATTTTGTCAATAAAAAATTGGGAAACAATTGTTCACCCAATTTGTTTGAAGGGGAGGTGGAACGTTCTTGCACAGAATGGCAATGTCTTTAATTTTATTAAATTCAAGTCTAGCCAGAACTCAAGGTCATCAAATAGTGAATATACTTAACCTTTTTCAATAAATACTGAGCTGCTTATCAAGAGGTGGAAATTACTGGAGCTCCCCCTCCGAACCTCTATAATTGAATTTGATGAACTAATTGATTCTTTTATGATATTATCGTCAAACAAGAAATCTCATTAATTTTGAATGGTTTCAGTTTTTAACATTACACGTCCATCTGATGCTTTAACGTTCGGTGCGTTTTATAACTGCATCTTTTAGCCGATCACGTACTAAATGAAATATGCTAATAAAAAGAAAAATATGCTTCACTATAAGAAATCAATTTAACTATCGCCCCAAGTTGCCACAAGTTCTGATGGTTCTTATAATTAAACTGAAAAAGATTGAATACGTGTAGCAGAATTTTGCCAAATTCACTTTTTGTATCCTAGTTTCCATTTTCTTACATTTGAAGTCAGGAACGCGACAACAACATCGATTGGAAAAATGCAAATCTTACTTAAAGCACACCCTTCTAAAGCCTTACGATTAACACTTACAGAGGAATTCTCTATTGTCGTTTAAAATTGGCAAATGCCGTCGACATATACTACTGCACAAATCCATTGACCGCAATCCTCGCTTATTTGTTAGAAAATGTACAAGGTGCACCTATGGATAAAGGTGTCAACTGTACGTCCAATTTTCTAGCGTTTGTCTCACATTTGAGTCCTCGCTGAGGGAAATATGCACGACGTGATTAATTGTACAAACGGTTATTTCCACAGGATTGTTGATTCATGTTAATCCATAAAAATATAAACATATCAGACCTCCTACGCCAGCAATAAGGACGACACTCGAGAAAAGTCTTAAATGAAATCCTTTGACGCATGTGGTCTAAAAGCAAATCTGAATTATTTATCACAGAAAACTTGCTATGATTTCTCCTTGTTATGGACGAGTTTCTACTCGTAAATGTTTTAACCATTTGGCCGACAGGTCTGTATAACTTTTGATACATGACTTATAAAATGATGACATAAATAAATATATAAGTAACAATCAAAATAGAACTGACTGCAGTGGGGAAGGGCAAAGAGACAGAACCATATCAGCTAATCCATCCACAAATTCAACATTGCAAATAAAGAAAAGGCAAAACCACTGACAAAACGAATAAAACGGGAATGGTATTAAAATTTTCATTTGCCCAAGATTCGTGGGGGCAGTCTGGATTCTTTTGTTATACAGCTCTTTACAACCTTGTGTAAAAGACGAGGGGCCAGTTTTAGAAGTTGTCAGGTTTATCAGAGGAAGGGTACGTGTTTAAAAAAAGGCCCTTAAAAGTTCTAAATTTTAGTATACTTAATTTGCCTTGTGAAAATAACCTGAAACGGGAAGATGAAATACTCAACACCGTGCTTTATTCGATTTTCTCAAACTCATTAATAATTCATCAAGTTTAAACAAAGGAAATCAAGACCGTGACGGTGTTTGGATATCTGATCTTAACTGGTATAGATTTTTACAATTTTATATTTTTGCTTTCTCCTTTGTTTCAATTCGATTACGAGGCTACATCAAACGCTGAAGACCGTGTTTGACCAATTTACACAAACTTCGAAGTTCGTCAAAAATACTCCGCTGCGCGTCGTATCTTCAACTCTCTTCTCGGTGTTTGGAAATGTGGTCAAACACGGTTTTTCGTATTTGATATGCTACTTCAAGTTATCGCGCGCGCAACACCTGCGAGTACAAAGTGGTTGGCTCACCATGCTCATTAACACCGTTAACCAGGATTGTAACCAACGACAACACTTCATAGTGCAAAAAATTGATTCCATTAAAAACTCACAAAACTATCTTAATTAGCCAACTATTTATCATCAAATGTTGTCTCAATATCTATCTTAGATTTTCTAAGGAGACCCCCTCCGCGCGTTGTAACTGGTCAACTGGCCAGCCCTCTTCCAGTTGGGATTATGAACTATATCGTGTCTTTTTCGTATTCGTTTCAAACATTTAAACCTGGCCCCACAGGCTTCAAGCTTTAACACAACCTGCATAAAAATTGCTTTAGCCCTAACGGTACCAAAGTAGATAAAACAATTATTTTAACCGATGCATATCTGATCCCAGCAATGAAATAAATAGCTATTAAATAAATGGAAACCGACAGTAACTGTTCTTGCATAAACGTATGAAACGGTGCCAGAAAATCAATCATGCGAATGACAAATATTGCGTCACTCTGAAAAGCCCCTGAGTCGCTTTAATTTTGGTCGCAGAAAAGCCATCCGATGTCAGCCTCTATTGTGTTCCTTGCGCAAACAAACCGACTGTCGATCATTCTAAACATCATTTGTAGATTGTGTTTATAGTAAACCAGATAAAATACGGCGCTACAACCAAATGCATATCGTTCAACAGTGTGAAAACATGAAAATTAAATGACTTTGGCAAGATACAAATCGCTCAATAGAAAGACCAAAGGGGCACCCGTACACTGTGCGTCCCCATCTGGGATAAAATTTTCACAAGCACCACCAGTGAAGGTGAACTAGGTTGAAACGAATGATTCAGCACTTCCTGCCGGTATTTTGGGAATACTGCTGTTTCGAGAAAGGTTGTCCTACAAGAGCGTAACAGCGTACGGGACAATGTCGAAAGGTATTATGGGTAATAGAGGCTCAAGGTTTTTAACGTACTTGATTGAAGCTCTAAGGTGTTTCACGGTGACAGAAGGAAACAGCACAAACACGTCTATTTATACTTTCTCCTTCCTTCTTGCTGAGACGCCGTGCGCCTCAACCAAGCAACGCCTATAACCTGCGTAACCGTTCTTTTTTTTTTTTTTTTTTCACTTCCCCCGCTCGCCGAAAAAAAATGGCTGATCGCACGTCGAAGCAACGCCAAAATATTACTAACCATAATATCAATCGGCATTGTCGGGCACGCTATAACGCTTTTGTGCAACAATCTTTCTCAAAACAGCTGTATTTTTTTCAGATTGAGACTATAAAACGATCATTGCTATCACGCACTGGGAAAATAGACCCAAATTTATTGTTGACACACAGAATGTTTGAGCTACAAATGACGCAGCCAAGAAAATTTGTCAGCTATTATTAATTTTTGTGGACACGGAGGAGAGAGACTAGAGACTAACTAGTCCAGTGGTCCCATCTCGTTTTAAGGCAGCTAAAACTCATTAGTATATACCACACAAGTGAATAGTGCTTTTCGCGCGCTCTGATTGGTTAACTCGGAGGTGATTAGCAAGTACTATTCACCTCCGAGCAGCCGGCGCGAGAGATTTTAAAATTTCCGACCGCTTGTCACACATAAAATAACGTTTTGGTCCGCTAATTATTCAGCTTGTGTAGTATATACTAAAACAATT